AATTACTTTAGCTTCTGGTAGTGATGATGAGACTATACGTTTATGGGATGTTCAGACAGGATAATAAAAAAATAAATTAGGCCATTTTTCTGGAATCAAATAAGTCTGTTTCTCTCCTGATGGGAATACTTTAGCATCAGGTAGTTGGGATAAATCAATACGGTTATGGGATGTTAAGACAGGATAATAAAAAAATAAATTAATTAGTCATACTAGCTAGGTAAATTCAGTATGTTTCTCTCCTGATGGAATTACTTTAGCCTCTGGTAATAATGATTAGACTATACGTTTATGGGATGTTAAGACAGGATAATAAAAAAATAAATTAGATGGTCATACTAAGGAAGTATTGTCAGTTTGTTTCTCTCCTGATGGAAATACTTTAGCATATGGTAGTGAAGATAAATCAATACGGCTATGGGATTTTTAGACAGAATAATAAAAAAATGTATTAGATGGTCATGATTTTGCAGTTTACTCAGTTTGTTTCTCTCCTGATGGAAATACTTTAGCATCTGGTGATCGTATTGGATCTATACGTTTATGGAATGTTAAGACAGGGTAATAAAAAAATAAATTAAATGGTCCTATTCGTGCTGTCCTCTCGGTCTGTTGATGGGAATACTTTGGCATCTGGTAGTTATTTAGACTCTATACTTTTATGGGATGTTAAGACAGGATGTTGTAAAAATAAATTAGATGGTCATGATGTTGCAGTTTACTCAGTCTGTTTCTCTCCTGATGGAAATACTTTAGCTTCTGGTAGTTGTGATAAGTCTATACGTTTATGGGATGTTATGATGGAATAATAAAAAATTAAATAGGATGGTCATGCTAATACTGTCACCTCAATCTGTTTTTCTCCTGATGGAAATACTTTAGCTTCTGGTAGTTATGATAAGTCTATACGTTTATGGGATGTTAAGACAGGATAATAAATAAAAAAATTAGATGGTCATAGTGAATATGTAATCTCAGTTTGTTTTTCTTTTGATGGAAATATTTTAGCATCTGGTAGTGAAGATAATTCTATACGTTTATGGGATGTTTACAAATAATTAAAGTATATTTTGCTTTATAAAAGATTAGGTAAAAGTTGCTTTTGGAAATAAAACAAAATTTTATAAGTGTAAAAAGAATTTTGAAATTATTTTGGGAACATATTTATTTTAGTAAAATTTCCTAAAAGTTGAAGACTATATTTGTTCTATAAAAACTCATACTAATTATTTCTTAAAGTTTCAAATTACCCCTTTAATCCATTAAATATTATTATAGGAATATTCATCGAGAATATTGAGATTAGAATATAGAACTCATAAGCATTATTTTTATTAAAATTCTCAACCCTATCATTTAGGATTAAATATTATTATATTTAAGTATATCATCTGATTCTATTAAAACTTTAAAATTTGAAGTAAAAGTTATGAAAATGAGATATGAGTTTTAATTTTTGTGTTTATTCTTCAAATTTGAATCATCCAAAAAAAAAAGTTAGTTTGGGTTTTTCAAATTTGTTGTTAAACTTTATTTTAAATATAAGATGATAAATTATAAGCTAGTACATTTAAGTGAGGGAATATGAATGAGTGTTAATTGAAACTTCTAATAATAATAGTTTAAGGCAATTTATTAGTGTAAATCAAACAATAATTAAGATATGAGATTAACAATACTATTAAATACTGTATTAACTTAATCTGAAATTCAAGAATTTTTTTTAATAGCTCATCTTTAATGGATGAAACAATGAAAGCTTTACCTTTATAATCATATAAAAATCCATTTTAAAAATCATGTTCTCTAAAATTTATGTGCAAATTGTGAAATTTCCTATTTCTTTTTGCTTGTTACAAGAATTTTCTTTATAATGAGAATAATGAAGAATAATTATGAAAAATAATAAAAAAAATTTTAATAGAGTTTGGAATTAATAATGTTCAAAAAAAAGGTGAATTAATTTGAAGTTGATAAAATTTAAGTTAAATAGGGAAAGAAATTGGTGAGGGAGCATAGGGGAAAGTTTATAAAGGAAAAATCCCAATTAAAAAAAATTATCCATTCTCGAAAAACATTTTAGTTCAGTTGATATATCAATGAATATATTGCCTATTTAAAATAACATTTAGTTTAATTCATTTTAAAATCCATTTAATGAGGAATTCAATATAGAGAAATTCAATAAATTAAAATTAACTGTTCTACAAATTATATAATTTTATATAAATATTGTGAAAATCCAAGATTAGATTTTGATTTAATCTTAATTAACTTTAAATTGTAAAACTATTTTAAATAAACAGATGTAATTTTAGGGCTTCACTGTTAAATTAACCTTAATTATTTAGAAATACCTTATGTAATAAATGGAATTTCATAAATTTATTCCTAGTGCATTAAGTAAAGGTTTTAGATTAATTACAATGAGGACAAACTTT